GAACATGTATGCAGACTATTAGTTCAATGCCTCTCAGACAGATGCGCTCCGATTTCGAAGGAAGCATTTAATTAATCGACTCTTACGACATGCTTTTGGGTAGGCATTGGGTCTATTTTTGTTTTAACTATAACGGGACCCCAGAACCCACACGGAGAAGTAAGGTAGAAATGTTTATTTTTGTTTTCCTGTCAGTTGGCAAAAGCCTTTAATATGTACAAGTTCTTTGTAACTGTACTAATCATAAGTGTATTTAGCCAATATGCTAAAGACCCCTGTCTTATACTTCTCTAAAATGTTGTAAAGGTATTGACCCAAGCGAAATAGCAGTCAACTTTACAATATATGATGCACAAACGTAAAGTGAACGTTGCAGTTAGAGAGCCTTCATCAGCACATCTCGTAAATCAACAAAATCACATGTTATAGACAAGAATACTCTAACACACTTAGCTGGTATATGCTGACATATTTTCGATACCAGTCATGTTGTTGTCCGGCCAGTTTTAAGTACAGGCAGCAAAGACAGCAGTAAGAAACCGATAATTATAACAGACGTCATAAGACACGGTAAAAGAAAAACACTGTGCATGCTGTGAAGCTACATAACAGGCAGGTTAAACAAGACCACGCTAATAATAGCGAATTATCTAGATAGACAACATGATGGTTAACACAAGCTTGTAAGCGTCAGAGATACTTCAAGAAGAGGTAGTTTATTGGCTAGGCTCTAGACTCACAACCCCAATGTCATGAGTTTGAATTCTCATCGATTCAGCTGGCTTCAAGGACAACCCATTCTTAAATTGGTAGCAGGTTAGTGTCTTGGGAATAAAGGCGACCAGTGTGATGTTGACCACATCAACTAAGCATTGCTGAAATATCCTTAAAATAGCTAGCACAATATGCCCAATGCAAAACAGGCGTAAAAATGATCTTTTACTGTAAAGTTAGTTGCGTATCCTTTACAGGACGTTGCAGAACCAACCCTAACCTGGCTGTTGTGTGGTTTCTCTAGGCAATTTACATCCAGTAGTTTGCCATTGCTACTGAACGGTCGGCTTTCTTGATACCACTGTCGAAACCAACGCAAGGCGCATTGCCCGCAGCTGGGATCGAACCTGGCATCCCGGCATTACGAAGCGAAGCGTTCGCATCGACTTAGCCACAGAGCCGACATCTTTTACTGTACTCTCAATTAATAAAGATCTTCGAAACCTCTAGTGTGCTCTCCAAGTTTAGCAGAAGTTAACTTGGAATGAAACGAGAATCGCAGAAAGAAGTAATAAATAGACATGTGATTTATTCTTTACACGTTAAAAGACATAACTCATTTTTTTTTTAAACTTTACGTGGAGAGAAAACATAAAGGCAAGATCGTAAGAGCTAAACCGCTCTAGGCGTCAGATAACAACACCAAGAGATGGACGAACTGCAGTCCGATTGCCTGTATAATCATGACGGGAGACAGAGATTATCGGAGACACACTATAGATAACCCTCATTGTAGAGAAGGTTTGACTGAGTAGCAATGTGTATATACTTACCAAAGTGTCCTTGGGAATAACGACTCCGTCAATGTGTATATACTTACCAAAGTGTCCTTGGGAATAACGACTCCGTCAATGTGTATATACTTACCAAAGTGTCCTTGGGAATAACGACTCCGTCAATGTGTATATACTTACCAAAGTGTCCTTGGGAATAACGACTCCGTCAATGTGTATACTTTCAGAAGCTTTCCTCAAACCACCAAAGGGAATGGGAGTAGTGAGTCTAAGGATCTCTAAGATTGCGGCCTCAGTGTATGGCATGTTAGATTTATTCTCTAGTCGAGGAGCTCTTTCGCCCACAACTCGGTCAATCTCCTCGTGAATTTTCTTGGTTACGGCAGGGTAGTTAATGAGACAAAGGAACATGCCCAGCAGAGACGCTCTTGATGTCAAGTGAGCTGTGGGAAAATATGGTTGAACTTATTATAATCAGTCACAGTCCCCAGAGGTTCTAAGGACTCCTTTTGGGAGAAAAAAAAAAATAAACACACTGCCACATAAATAACCAACTAATTATAGACAGTGGCGTTGGATGGGACACGCTTTTGGAAAATCTGACAACAATATAACTAGAATGTCTTTGCACGGGAACCTGTACGGGCATATAAATAAAGGAAGGCCAAAAAATAAAACACATGAAGAAGAGAGCTTGATAGTGAAGTTAAAAGAAGATAGTGAGGTACGATAGCGAAGGATAGAACGACTTGGCGTGAGTTGGTTGAGGACCTAGGTCTCACTGGTGGTTAGAAAGGCAGATGAAGAACAATTAGGAATGTTTCATTCAAAGCCAGAAAACATCTGCTTAAGAAGCTTGGAACCAATAGTCTATATATAAAACGGAAGTGCACGCAAAACTCAGTTTCTAGAACAATGTCAATGTGAAAAAATGGAGGAAAAACAAGAAATATCCGCTGGAGTTTACTGCTGGTAAACGCTTAGAAGAAGGAGAAGAAAAAGAATTATAACTTGACGAATGGATAGTCGAAAAGTTGGAGATAACAATAAAAAAAAAAAACGTTAAAGTTCCTCATCAGGTATTAGGCCTTTACATATTTTAGGTGACGAGATATGAGATGGGATGACTAGTTCCCTTCCTCTCCGCCTTTTTTTTTTTTTTTTTTATTTCACTTGAACTTCTGTATTTCTGTTATGTCGACTCTGTGGCTAAGTAGATGCGAACGCTTCGTAATGCCGGGATGCCGGGTTCGATTCCAGCTGCGGGCCATGCGCCTTGCGTTGGTTTCGACAGTGGTATCAAAAAAGCTGACTGTCCAGAAAGCAATGGCAAAATACTGGACGTAAATTTGCCTAGAAAAACCCTACAACAGCCAGGTTTTTTTGGGTTGGTTCTGCAACGTCATGTAAAGGATACGCAACTAACTTATTTCTGTTATGTCTGTGTGGGGCTAGCTAGACGCCATAGTCGTGCTGGTAGGATACATGAGACAGAAGACTGTTGACAGGCATGACTATCAACACCACTCGGCTTGGACTAGAAGGAAGAAGACGTGAGTATTGAGCCTGGAGAACTTTCTTATTGTGTTAAGTCAAGTAAAAAATATCAGGACACTTTTAACGCCGTGGTGTCTATTGAGTTAAGAGTGGTACCAATTTAAAACGGTATGCCACTTGAAGAAAATTATGCAAATGCTGCTGACCTTATTTGTATACACTGTGAGTGGAGTGTCATGATCACGTTGCTCGCACTAGTAGTCATTTTAGGCTCTGTCGACCTGAACAATTTTTACAATTAATCGGGAGTCGAACCCATGATTACCGAGCGGGAAGATAAGTGTGATAGCCACAGGGGCTACTCGGTCCTCAGTGGCGCTTCCTTCAGTTCCGCTTTTACTTTTTGAGATGTCTAAGAAGACATTGCACGTATCGTTTTTATCCTCCAGTAACGCAATCTGTAGGATTAACATCTCAAGGATGAGAATCAAACAGGCACAACTAATAGAAACCCCGGTTCAACATTTGAGTTGTAACACGGCCATGTAGGAAACAACAAAATGGCTTCGAAGTAACCTGTAGTTTAATATAGATGGGTCTGTAATCAGTGAATGAGACAAAATATAATCTTAAAGTTATATCTGTTTTGACATCCTCTACTATAGACACCTGGCTGATGAATGTGTCTAATTTTACCCACCCCCCCCCCCCCGCCCCACCAACTCCACCCCACCCCTTTTGCTCTGATTTACCCTTGTTCTTAGCTTACCTCTGACTCTACGTCCACATCCTCCTTTTTTTAAAAGCATTATTTCATTCTTTAGCTTTCATATTAATAATTTCTTCTTCTTCTTCTTCACTTCCTCTTTTACCGCTGTGGGTGTCGAGGGAGATATAAGGTTGTGTTTCTAGCACTTCTGGCCGCCTCGACCATAGGCACATCGTGCTGTTGTAGAGTTTCTCTGATGTTATCCTTCCATGTTGTTTTTGGTCTACCTCGTGCTCTACGTCCTTCTTCTCTTTCCATGTATGCTTTGTATGGTATGGTGTCACGAGGCATTCTCTCTAAGTGGGCAAACCATTTCACTCGCTGTCTTCGTATGTAATCCAGAATTGGTTCTGTGCCGACTTTTTCTCTTATGATCTCATTCCTGATCTTATCTCTTATGGTCACTCCTACAGCCCTTCTCAGACATCTCATTTCCATGGTTACTAATTTTCTTTTATGGTTTGTTGTGAGTGACCATGTCTGGCACTGGTAGCACAGAGTTGGAATAAATATGCTTTGAATAAGATGTCTCTTTGTGCTGATTGGGATTGAAATACATAGCAATAGAACAGGCATCTGAGTTTAAATATCTGGGAACTAAATTTACCGAAGATGGGAAACTGGAATAACTACTTCACTTGTTATTATGTCGTTTCGCAAAACTCGTCTCAGTTTATTTATATTCAGCTGCTTGTGAGGACAATCAATAGAGATACCTTGAAGTGGCCGCTCTATCAGGGTACTGAGCATGCGTGAGAACGCCCAGTGCGCAGTGATGTCGGTTGGATAACATAGCATATTCATAACTCCAGTTTCATAAAATAATCTACCCAGTGCAGCCTGTGAATATGAACAATTCGAATCATACTCAGTACTTGCCAACTCTCACAGTCAATTTATAAAATCAAATGATACTTTAAGACGTACACTCCTTTGCGTTTAGTTTAACCAATGTATGAGCGTCTTACGTTTAGAAGGCAATGGCAAACTACTGAAAGTAAAACTGTAAAATCACATAACAATCCATAAACACTTAGGTTTATTAGCTATAATTTCTTTTGATTGTATGACTGTGATCAGATGAAACATTGATCTGTTGGTTAGTATTGGATTATTGATTACCTGCTACAAACAGCGAAGTTAGAAATCCTATTGCCTGATCGGGGTCTGTCTCCAACCATTCGTAACCTGGTTTGGTGTGAAAGTCAAACACATGATCAGCGACTCCTCTAGGTTGGCCAGGTGTCCAACTTCTCTAAATAGTGAAATTATCAGGGAACACGATTATGTTAAGTGCTAAAGACATTATAAAACATCAAGGTTGTAAATAATAAAGACGTTGAGAAACATTAGGACATAAATACTTAAAATATTTAAAATAAAATCACGAATTCGGGAATACTAAAAACACTAAAGAAAATGAGGTCATCGATACTAAAGGTATTGGGAAAAAAATGAGCACTGTAATACCAAAGATGTTGAAAACACCAGGTCATAGATGCTTACAATATTTGAAAAAACACATAAATTCTTAAATACTAAAAAACGCTAGAGAAAATGAGGTCATAAATACTAAAGATATAAGAAAAGATGAGTCTGTTAATGCTGAAGTCTTTATAAAACATACGATCATTAAAAAAATTTTCGGCTTCAAATAACGAAAAATTCAGCCCATCTAAAAATTTGGGTTAAGGCTCAAGTTATAAGTGGCACCACACTTCGGCGCATATGCATATCAACTTTACTGCACGGGGCAAAGGCTTTAACTACTTCGCTAGGAAACCACCAGTATTTTTCATTCAATGACATAAACAAGTAACCTTTATTGTTTACAATATATTTATAAATAACCACGAGAAAGCCATGCAAAAAGTTATACTAGAACAAATTACCTTTGGGGCGTAATAGATCAATTCCTCAGCCTTGATTTTGGCTGCCTTTAACCTGTCTACAGCATCCTTGAATCTCCCGGGAATCTTTGCCAAGATAGGAAACATAGCTAGCACGAAATCATACTCTGGAGCCCAGAGTTTATTGAAGGCTATGTCAAACTCTTCTAGGATGTCCGTTTTCTTGACATCGTCGGGTCGTTCGCCCAAGACCTACAAAGGAAATTAGTTGAAATTATATATTGAACTGCTTTTTACACACTGATGCCCTTTGCTGTTCCAGTTACAGATGCTAAAGAACAGAGAACGAACTTTTTATAATGTCAGCCTTGTTGTGGTTTGCCTTTTACTACATGCGTAAACAAAACACAATTACCTCAATTAGCCGTTGGACCAGGTTCACTACTTGAAGTATTGGTATGCACATGATATCTTTGAATGCACTTTTTAAGTCTCGTATTAGTAAATTGGCATTCAAGACAATTCACAGACATTTCTAAAAAAAAAAAAAAAAAAACTATCCGTTACCGACGTTATGAGGCTGGAATGCTAAAAAAACCTTTCTGTTTAAGGGGATTTGCCGTGGTTTTAAATTGTACACACACCTAACATTTTAGAAGAGGAAATAGTGGTAGTAGCAGTAGCAGCCACAACAGCAATAGCAACAGCAGTAGAAGTAGCGGCAGAAGCAATGAAGGTAGTAGTAGCAGTGCTGTGATGGCGGTGGTAGTAGACGTATCTGTTGTTGTTGCTGTAGTAGTAGAAGTAGTAGTAGCAGCAGCATCAGCAGTAGCAGAAGTAGCAGCAGCAGTATAAGTAGTAGGCGCTGTAGCAATAGCAGAAGCGGTAGGGGTTATAATTCAGCTTCCCTTGTGTAGACACTACAGGACCATCATTTTACTTTCACTGGCATTGTTTGTTCTTGTCACTTCTGGTGTCATTTCTGAAAAGTTAACCTTTTTGGCATTGCTGGCACCTTTTTGTCTTTCCAGACTAAAGTGTGATTTTTTTTTTATTACAGGGAGACATGGAATCACTTCGTAGGACAAGAGCGACTAACAAGACCGCTCAACAGAAGAAAGCCTTAGCGCTTTTGTAACGACGATGCGTTGTCCATTCATCGTGATTCAGCCCGAGTTTGCCTTGCTTACGCCAAAGAAAAGGCAACATCCAGACGTTTGGAATCAAGCATGCTGCAAAAGCTGCAGTGCTCTGTGTGTCCTGTCCGTCTATGGGAGAACTTCTAGCCCTACCAGACCTAAGGCCCTGAACCTAACTGTCCCTATAACCTGAGCTCCTGGGCATTACCGAGAAAAAACCAACTTGATATACAAAAATATTAGTTACATGCAAACGAGTGGCTAGAATATGATGAAACTTGGAGGCATTGAAGAAAATAGGTTTACCTTTTATCTAGCGCCAATATTCCACCTTTGTGTGCGAATTCACTCATCAGGATCAACTTTGTTTCACAAAGTGAGCACTAGATGTTGCCGTTTGATGGACACACCCCCTCCTCCTACTATCGATCTATTTCAAGATTGATAATTTTCAAGATTTTCTTCATCATTGCGCTCTCACTGACAGTGTCATTTCAAGAACGTATTCTTTATGAAATTATCACAGACAATTATATATATATATATATATATATATATATATATATATATATATATATATATATATATATATATATATATATATATATATATATATATATCACAGAGTCTGAATAAACCAAAGTATCGATCACCTGTTGGACTGTGAAAATCCTAGAACTTGGTTCATTAGCCGCTCGCTTCATTCTGAATTTTTCTAATTTTTTCACGTTAAAACG